CTCACAGGGAGGGGGGGGCAGGAGCTCCAACAAGCCGTTTAGGACAGAGAGTGAATACACCTACTATACAGAGATGCTGTTTGAGAAACCCATGTGAGTTTGGAACATTAAACAATGTAAATCTATTCTAGTAGACCTCAACAATGGAATTATGATCAGTAGAAATGGCCATGACATGGGACCTTTAAATCAAAACAGAAATCATGCTGCCGTCACACATCAGTTGCGTCATACCGCATTCAGCTAGGAAAGTTATTCTGATATCACATTCTGCCACTGAAATGCACCTGTAATATAGCCATATCACACAGGGTTATAAGCCAATAGACAGGCCGATATATTATTATTAACTAGGACTAATTTAGTAACATTTGACATTATATTATTTAGATCAACACATAGATGATCTATCAAGGACATGTCAAGTTGTAGAGAAAGACAACAAACCATCAATTTAGCTGCTTCCTCTGATAATGCGTCACACAAACAAGCACATAGAGATTGAAATGTGACTCATTTCAGTCTGTCTGCAGCGTGTGGCAGGTAAACTTTAAATCATAGAACGGCAAGAAATATCACAGCTGTCAGTCAGAATACATTTCAGATAGAGCAGAAAAATAAAGACTTCATATTGGGAAGAGGACACAAAAGAAGGATGCAGTTAAAGTGAGGAGGTGATGTAGTGAATTGTTATTTCATTATTGATTTAAGTGTATCAATAATTCTTTGGGTCAATTGTTAAGTCTATAAAATCCCTATTTCCGACATCCTGAGGCGATGCATTGAATTGATTGTTAGTTCAAGTTTAAAAGGAGAACACACAACTACCATTACGTTTCAGTTCTAGGAAGGTTGTGTTGGTGAGAGGGGTGAAGTATCTCTGTTTCGTATCTTTATGTGACGCTGACAAGGAGCAGGAGATGAAGTGGTGTTTGGGTGCTATGGCTGAAGAGGGACCACAAAGACCTTGATTTGTTGACGTTGTGTCTCATGAACTCTACGCAGTGACCGAGAGGGTGAGATTATAGATATGCCAAAAATAAAGATTCACTGCTGAGATGAGGAGTGCAGTTATACAGGAGGGCGTAAAAGTCCATTTGCTAATCGTGCTTTTTAGGTGTGACTTAATAACACACAAAGCTCAATTTTCATTTCATTTAATTTCAAACCTTTATTTAACCAGATTGGTCCCATTGAGATCATAGATCTCTTTTTCAAGGGAGACCTGCAGCAAATAGGTTCCACATGAAACATAAAACAATAAAAGACATCATACATTATATTTACAGGTTACATTTGCATAGTTATCGACATTTAGAAGTATCCATAGTATCAACGAGCATTTCATTTAGCCTAGCTTTAAAAACATGCAGAGGAATGAGATTGCTCAGTTTCAATTCTGATCAGATTGTTCCAAGCAAGTGGAGCTGCGCACATAAAAGCTGTCTTACCTAAGACAGTCCTTGCTCTTGGCACATCTAACAATACATCATGCGATCTCAGACAATAGCTGCTTGCAACTCTCTGTGTGATCAGAGAGCATATATAACACGGGAGTTTACCCAACAAAGCTTTATAAATAAACGTGTACCAATGACTGAGCCTCCGTACAGTAAGTGATGGCAAACCTGCCTTGGCATACAGGGTACAGTGATGTGTAAGTGCTTTACAATTATACATACAATACATTCTGCACGTCTGTTTGCCTGTATGTTATTCCTGTGATTGACAGGCTCTCCCTTTCGATCAATGCATAATGAAGAGCAGGTATTGATACTAACAATCGATAGTTGACACCAGTGTCCGTCAGTATCGTATTTTTGTCAAGGCTGGAGAAGCCTCCACGATGACATGTGTTGCAGAATTGAAAAGAGAAAAAGGAATTGAGAGAAATTGAGGTTTAGGACTTTTAATATTCATAGGGCTAGACTTTAAACAAACTGCATCACTGCTGACAGATCAGAGCTGAAGTACATTTAATGCAGCTGAACCGTGTCTGTACTTTAACAAGGAATCCAGCCTTTTCAGCACCAAGTGTTTCTCTAATCACTCTGATGGAAATGAGGATGAAACGCTTGCATTCACTCAATTCTCCTCTTGGGTGTTCAGGGAGATGGTGTGTGTGAAAGAGAAAGTAAAAGGGTCTTAAATGCATCGCTTGTAGGAGACACCCTTTGTTGATGTTTTATTCTGTGTTAAACACTGTATTTAGACGCAGACTGGAGCGAATTAACAGACAATATGACATGTCAAATCAGCGTGGCCGCCTGACAGGATGACTGATTGAATCAGATCACATTATGATGAAAATACAGCTGTGTGTGTGTGTGTGTCTGTGTGTGTGTGTGTGTGTCTGTGTGTGTGGATGGGGGAATACCCTCCACTGGAACAGTCTGGAATCAAGAGGCTGTTGCTGTGGCAACGCGAGAATGGGAATTTCCCTAGTAACAGACAGTATGCACGGAGATACTGGGAAGAGTGGGAAAAATCACCTTGACGAATGTGGGACTGTCACTGTGGCAACGGCCGCACTCCTTCAGGTGGAAATGCGAGCAAGTGGATAACGTGGATGTTAGATGGATGAATGGATTCATGAATAGATGATGAGCAGAGTGGATTCAGCAGGACGGTCCCCTGTGGAGAAATATAGATTTTTCATTTGTTGCAGCGGGGAGTTATGCAAACTCCAACAATGACACTATTTGAGCCCGCAATTGTGCTCATAATAGGGAAAATCTATAGCATGATACATGATACAACACAAGATTACATTCTTAATTTTGTCTCAATAAATGACAGTATGACCAGTTCAAGAAACTGAAACTCTTTGGGATTCAGACCAACTATTTATACAAGGTGTACACACATTGGTAGCAAAATACATCTCATTTATTTTCTAGTCCATAAGTCTTGAAAACCAAAACTGCTTCCCTCCATATCTTACTTTGAGAAATATAAATGTTTCTCTACAAGCCTTTTTTGAAAAAGAAATTCCGTAGACATGAAAATTCACATGTGGTGAGTCATCAACCAGGACTAAGAGCTGCTACCACACCTTAAAGAGTTGAATATCCGAGACATGAGGGACAGGAGTTCCCTGCCAAATTAAAAGATAATCACCGCCATGAAAAATTGGCTTTTGGTTGCTTAAATAATGAAATAAATCATGCTTCCTTCACACATCAGGTGAGTCATACGGTGCCAGGAAAGGTATCTGAAAAGCACCTGTAATATATCCATATCACACAGGGTTATAAGCCGACCGAAAAACAGATTTATAAATCCTCCAGGTCTAATACAGTAACATTTTTATATTGCTTTTTGATAAGTTAACACGCCATAGATGAAATATAAATGACAGGGCACGTTCTAGAGAATGATAACGCGGTAAATTACTTTTCCAGCAGCTTCCTCTGATAATGCGTCACACAAACAAGCACAGAGAGATTGGAATGTGACTGATTTCAGTCTGTCTGCAGCGTGTGGCAGGTCAACTTTGAAATCATAAAACGGCAAGAAATATCACAGCTGTCAGTCGGAATAACATTTACATGATGCAAAGAACTGTGCTGTAGTGTATTTACAGGAAGAAGGGGGAGGGAAATTGCAATGCTCTGGGCAAGAACAATGTTGGTTCAGTAAATTAATTGTTTTTTCAATTAGCCTGGGATCATCAGTTTATATAGGGGTGCCATAAGTGAATGTCAGCCAAACTACAGATTCATTTATATGAACGAAGTAGAAATTGAACCAAGGGGAAGTAGATTTGGGATGTTTTTGTTGTTATGGTACCCTTTCAATAGGTGTCATTCTAATCTAACTGAGATGTATTACTGGCTGCAACATGCTACAGAAAGTCGTGGGCTGGGGGCTTTTTTCAGTTCGAGTGCTTGTTGCAAGCTTCACGCCTCTTCCCTCCGTCTCTCCTGCTGCACAAGATGGATCCTTCACGAAGAAGAAGGAAAACACCCCTGCCTCTTTCTCCCTCTCCCTCTTCTCATAAAGTGGGTCAGTCTCTGCTTCTTCTTTCTGTCTCTGTGCGTTAGGATATACCTTCACTCGTTCACTCTCTCACACATGTTCAAAGGGGATTCCCAATCTGCTAAACCTGCAGCCACCAAGACAAATCCTCTGATGTTTCACAGAGGGAGAATGGGTGTGGTCCAATGTAAAGAGCCATATTTAACCAGTGTGCTAACGTGGAAAAGTGTGCAGTCATTTTGTATTTGATGAACCGTGAGAGGCAGAAGTGATTGCTGTTTAATCAAAGCAATGTGGATTAGCCAAGAGCACTGCACCCACTGACTAATAATTACAATATGAAACAAAAGTGAGTTTTGTGTGTTTGCAAAATAAAATCTGTATCGTTTGAAAGAAACAATCGATATAGGGTTAAGGTTATAGATGAAGGGATACAGGTAGGGAGAAACCAGCATGATTTAATAAAGGGAATCATACCCATGAGGCAAATTATCTTTCCGTAGATAAAGAGTAAACAGAACATGTTTGATGCAAAACAATTACATCAAAGGTTCAAAAATAATTTATCAGCGTCATTCAAGTGGAACAATGACCACCAAGGAAGGATTAGTCTAAGAATCCTGTAATGGATTGGATGTGCCTGACTGGTCTCTGCGCAGGAAATCCCCCAGGATGCATCAGGTCGCATGTGGTGACATTGTTTGGAAATGTCGTGTATCTCAAATGTGTCCTACAGGATGAATATGATCACTCTGTTGAAGCTGACAAAGCAGGCAAGTCTTATTTTCCTGATTCTAAGATATTTTCCACTTCTTCTCCCTGTGTGTGTGTGTGTGTGTGTGTGTGTGTGTGTGTGTGTGTGTGTGTGTGTGTGTGTGTGTGTGTGTGTGTGTGTGTGTGTGTGTGTGTGTGTGTGTGTGTGTGTGTGTGTGTGTGTGTGTGTGTGTGTGTGTGTGTGTGTGTGTGTGTGTGTGTGTGTGTGTGTGTGTGTGTGTGTGTGTGTGTGTGTGTGTGTGTAGAACCACAGCTGAAGGGCATAGTGACCAGGTTGTTCTGCAGGCAGGGCTTCTATCTACAGATGGGCCAGGATGGAAGTATGGATGGGACCAAAGACGACAGCACCAACACCTGTAAGTGGACACACACACGGGAATTGTATACACATGACTGCAAAGATATGAATAGTTGGTGAAAGTGCATTTTGTTGAGGCAAACTGCACTACATATTCAGTTTGATTTGCCTGGGCGATCATTTATCCACACAGAATATCTGCTGTAACTAACTGTGTGCGCAACCACTTCTAACATTTGTGACTTCTCTTGACAATGCACTAATGTAAGGCGGTGCAACAAATCCCTTAATATTTAATACTGAAGTGAAAGAGCTTCAAAACTCAAATGTCATCAAGGCAAAAGAAAAAAGCCGTGACAGAGAGGCTCTTTCAAGGGCAAACAGTTATTTAGAGATGACCGTCTCGTCATTTGATTTAATGAACGTCTGAGAGCGCTTCTTCTATCTTCTCACTGTGCTACAGAGAGCCCAGCAGGAAAGATCCAATTAACCCTAATTATTGTAGCGTTAATGAAAAGCTTAAAGTAGGGTCAACACATTGTCCCGCTGCAGCATCTGACATTCAAGCATATTGAGCTAAATGAGCCACAGTTGTTGGTATCGATTGAAACTCACAGTATATGCAGTCATAAAGAGACAGCGATGGAGCTTTGTATCCATTTGGGACTCTTCTTGTTGCGCACACAGTGTGTTTTCACCAACTGTTGGCAACAAGCAACAAGTGGCTGCTCAGAAGTTGTTGTTTTTCAGTCTGTTTGACCTCTGCACCCGGCACTGCCCTCGGGGAGTGGTTACAGATGGATGGCTTATTGATGACTGGAGCCGTTGCTATATTCTGATGTGCTAGGCTGAGGGAAAATCAAAACGCTGATCAGTAATCACTCCACATTGGCTGAGCTGTTGTCTCAATGTCCCACTTGTTTACTATGATTTGATTATTTTTTGGCAACTGTCTCCACATCAAATTTTGGCGATGGGCTTTTCCTTTAGATTTCTGCCACAGCATGGCGTGTCGATCAAATATAATTTTACTGCCGCTCACACTTGTTGCCAAGCGTCATTTTCCATTAGTTTTCCTGCCTGAGCCGTGTTCAGTGACATTTCCTGCTGCATTTAAAAGCAGGGTGGTTGCCATCTCTAATCAGATGGGTGCATATTTTTATGTTAATGATGCCTGATATTTATCCAGGATGATTACTCGCAGGTGTACATTTCAATTCCTTCCGCTCGTTGCTTGTTAGAGACCATTTTTGTATGTAACCTTGATTAATGACGGCTGTGATATCCCAGGTGTAATCAGCCCTTGATTGGAAGAAAAACAAGCGCGTCCATTTCACGGCCTTCATTTCAGGTCATTGTCATGTTAGGATTTACATAATATCAATTACACAGATAAATTAAGAATATGTACACAGGAAGGCCTGTCTTGTGCATCTTAAAGGTGTTTTAGATGCTCAAAGAAATAACCAGGAGTCTTTGTTTAACTTATTAAAATGAACATCTTTACTTGAATTCAGTCAGACAGCAACAAATTAGACAAAGAAATATGTTTAACTGTACAAGTATGCATTAAATAAGCATGTTTAAATGCCTTTTTAAATGCCATTCAGGAATATTTTACTCCTTATAAGTAAACAAAATCATGTACATTTGCAAAATAAACACCCAAACTTGTCAATCTTTTGTCAAGTATAAATCAGAGTGTTTTAGAAAAGACACATTTTATAAATATTTTGAGCAGCACTAACAAAACCCCACTCATCTCCATTGTATAGGGGTGACGCAGGAACGAGACAGATATTACAAAAGCCGGGCAAATGAAAGCGTTGAATCCCCTCATCCGTCAGCACTTACTGAAAATGCAACAGTTCAGCTTTTACCAGGCATCACACTCACAACATGAAACAATTAACTTTAGCCACAGGCTGCAACCGCCGAGTGAAAAAAAATAGCACCATCAATAATTAATGAAAACACCCCTTAAATGCTTTGGAAACCAGCGTCGGTTTTAAATGCTGTGGTATGTGGCACTGGCTCAGGACAGAGAAACATGTTTTTAATGGATTCAGATTCCACTTCAACCCGTCCTCAGTTTACTCCACATGTTTATCAGAGATGTATCGTGTCCTTGTTGGATGCTGCCGTATTTAATAAAGAGGAAACTGGTAAATGTAGACTTGGAAAACATTTGGGACGTTGGGAAATGTGTTCATTTTCTTGAAACATTATGTCTGAGTTTTCCTCCAAATTGTGTACCCACATCCTAAATGGTGGCAGAATACAACTTGAATTGATTTTGACTTTGTTTCTGTCAAAACAATTCGACTATTTGTGCTGCCAGCGGGATAACCAATAAGTCTGAAATGAAATGAAAGAGCCACGCGGGTCAAAAAGTCTTTGACCTCAGAAGAAATATTTAAGAATATATTCAAAAACCTTGAAATGTCAAAATTATTTGCCCAATTTTCACATGGGAAAATACCTGGAGACAGGCTTGTATCACAATGGAAATATAAGAGTAGCAACTCCCCAACATCTTGCAAGCTGAACGGGTTTATTAATGATATTTGCTTATTTGTTAATTTAATGTTAATCTATTAAGGTAGATGTCTTTTAAGCAATCCGATTCCAAATGTATTTAAAAACAACTACTTCAGAAAAGTCAGCTTTGGTAATCCATTAAGCTCACTGAAGAGCTGACAATCATGGCTTCAAAATACTTAAAAAAAGAAAAACTATTTAATATCTCATGAGTACAACAAATTAAAAAGAGAGTAATGGGTTGCAGGAAGTGAGCAGAAACACCCGTGACACGATCATTGTCCTTTCAAATATCTGCCCGAGGCTATGAGGGTGTGTTCGGCCGTCTGTTCCTTTACCGTCTTCTTCAAATAACACCGACCCCCTGACGCTGAGAGCACTGTGCCTTCGAGAAAAAGGACTCAAGGAAAGGCTGATATTAAAATGTTATGAAGAAATGACGGCAAATATATATAATACACAACGGAGCTGATGCAGGAAAATGTGTTCTGTTCTTTCCCGTTAATAACTGATGTTACAGTTTCAGGATGCTCCTCAGTTACCAACAGGGATTTGTTTTCCAATACTTGGCCTCTATGACGAATAATACATGTTTGAATAAAGCTCGAGTTTTTGGCAAAGAAAGGGTTCATCATACATTTAATATATGTTGGGTTTTAATTGAAGGGGAAAAGATTGGTTGCAAATTAGTTTTTTTTTACATAGAAAACCTGAATGGTTAACTATACAGCTTTGAGACAGAGTATCACGGCACAGGATGTTTTTCAGGAGAATTCATATTTAAAGAAGAGGTCTGAATTTTCAATCAATGTTCTGCAGGCCTCTGAGTTTAAAACCCCCGCAGTGAGCCCCTCGAGGCCGAGATGCTTCTTCACCTCGCTCTGAACTAACTAACTGAGCAGCAGACCGGCTGACATCTGAGTCCTCAGAGCACCGGGGGAAGAAGAGGAAGAGGAGGAGGAGGAAGAAGAGAAACACGCTCCTGTAAACTCAGTTTCTCTGTTTCTGTCCTCAGCTCTGTTTAACTTAATTCCTGTGGGTCTGAGAGTCGTGGCCATCCAATCAGTGAAGACCGGCCTCTACATCGCCATGAACGGAGAGGGTCACCTCTACTCATCGGTGAGCACACACACACACAGACACACACACACACACACACACACACACACACACACACACACACACACACACACACACACACACACACACACACACACACACACACATTTTGTTCCAGTGTTTTCACCTGTATCTGTTCAGTTCTTATTGGTCCTTTTTTTGGGTGAGGTTTAAAGCTTCTTTCTGGAAAATGATGGGGCTTAATTACAAATGGTGTGTTGCTCATCCAGGTCCTGAGTGTTTGGTTTTAATCTGCCGTAATTCTTTCCAGGAGACAAATGGATGTACCAGACAAATCTCTTGGTCATTTATAAGACCTTCCTTTATCCACTGGATAAGGACAAAATAATGGCTAACATTGATTAATGAAGGCACGTCTTTTAAACCATGATAACCATTGCTAAAAGTAGTCTTATAAGAAGACATAGTCTGAAGGATTTAAATTGTTTTACTAATCTATTGGAAAACAGTGTTCCCATAGCCCAAGGTGACCCCTACAAATAGCTTGTTTTCTCCAATATACAGTCCAAAGAATATCATAGAGGACTAAGAAAACCAATTAATATTTCATTTTAAGATGCAGAAACCAGTTAATTAAAAAAAAGCAACTATCAAAAGAAAGGTCTTGTACAAAGTAACATTTGCATTGGAGCTATTTGCAAGATATAAACAGGATTTGAGCGGAGATGAATGCTTGAACAGCTTGGTTAACACCACATACTCTCATTATGCTGCTCAGAAGAACAATTGGGTGATTTTAGTTGAACTGCCATCACATCGTCGGGGTTTGCCTGCAGAGCCTCTTGCACGCTGAAGTTAAAACGGATCAAATACAGACAAATCTCCTCACTCTAAATTATACAATATGTAGCTCAGATTTAGGTTTAAATTTAAAGGGGAATTGAAGCATGCCTGATACAATAAAAGCTTTTTTCATGTCGGAGGACTTTGAAGGTTTGCGTGAAAGAAGATCGGAGACAGGTGCATTAGTAAGAGAGAGAGAATAAAGAGCAGATACACTGCTGTTAATGGATGCTATAATGAGACACATTTTTCACTGTATGGACATTAAGTAAGTCTGTTTTAGAGAACAGTTTTAGATGCTAAATTAACCCCTAAAAAACAACACAGAATAAGGGACGTGTGACACAAATTGGAGATGGATTAGAGTTGGGGTGAAATGAGGCAATGCGAGGTAGAGGAGGCGCGGCCGCCAGAAGAATATGAATAATTTCCATGCTGACTCTTCAGAGAGAGTTCACACTCTTCTCCCTGACATCATCCCTCTTTCCTTCCCTTCACTTCTTGTTTTGGGGGAGGAGATGACAGGAGCCAGAGAGAGGGGGAAAGGAGGTGAAGCAAGGAAGGGAGAGGTGATGAAGAGAGAAAGGATGGGGTAAGGACGGAAGGAGGAGGCGGCGAGGAGATAAAAGGAGGGAAATGAAAGGGAGAGGTGACAAGGAGAAAAGTGAGGCCAGGATAAATCATGAAAGAAAGAAGGAGAGAGTTGGGTTTGAGGCAAAAGAAAGGAAGCGAAGAAGAAATAGCACACAGACAATGAGAGGAAGAAGAGGACAAAAGGTTGCACACAGAGGAGGAAAAAGATGGAGAGGCAGGACAAACATGTAAGACTATAGGACGGAGGAAAAAGGTTATCGACAGAGGAGGAAGAGGATGTAGACAGAGGGGCGAAACAACGAAATAGGACGGAGGAAAGAGGTTTCAGGCTGAGGAGAAAAAAGATGGGAGAGTAAGAAGGCAAACTGTTGTAGACAAAGGGATGAGGAAGGAGAATTTTGGAGAAGAAAGATCTGTGCTGCTCTGCTGGGCTTTCTCAGCCTGTCTCTGAAAGTCACAGATGCATGAGGGCTTCCTGTAAATAATTGAAGAGGGGGAGTCCCCCCCCTACACACACACAAACTAGAAATCCCCTTCTAAAGCTGTGTAGAGGGAAAGTGAGAATGTGTGATCATGTTCCAGCTCTGTGACTGATGTACAGGCGGCTAGAAAATATACAAATTACACGGAGAAGGTGCAATTTATCCTGATGTCAACTCTGATTGGCTTTTGCAAAAGGTCCCGGCAGGTGTGTTGCGTTGTTTTACTGTGTGGTTAGTTTGCTACAGTTAGTTTGATCCAGGTCTTATCCACAGGGTTTCCTTTATTTATGTGTGTAATTGTCCTCACTGAGCTTCTTGTTTTTCATCTGGATTATCTTTCATCCTGCCCGGTTACTTATTGAACAGGTGTCAGGAAGTCGATACAAATCACATTCTAGTTCCCGTACCTTCAACTTAACGACGTGCCCTTGTCAGAAGTCTTTCCCAGTTTCGCCTCGGAAGAATTCTTTATTAATAAAGCAATTGATATTCCACGAGCAAACACACATCATTGAGTGAGAAGACTTAAAGCGCACAAGTGGGACTGCATTGCAATCATTATAATCAGAACATGATGTACTGAATACAGTGTGCATGAAAAGGTCTTTAATACTCTTGTATTTAATTACAAGAGTATTTCTGGCGGCTTCTATTTCTGTGTCAGAAATTGAATATATGGATTTTTCTGAATATTTTGTTAGTACACAACAACATACATTTTTTTATATTTTCATAATATCTATCAAGAACATTTTTTAATATTATTGTGACACCAATTTCTATCTATATCTCTTTAATCTCCTTGTGCCGTGCATACTTGCTTGTTCTTAAATATATGCCTCGCTGCTCTCAATGAGATTCTTTATCCTCTTATTGCAAATTGTTAATGATATGCTGCAAACTTAGTTATACATGATGGGACTGTCTCATTAATCCCACATCCCAAGCATCTGTCAGTGTGTGTTTGTGTTTGTACGGGCGCATGTGTGTGTGGGTTTAGGATGTGTGTGTGCATGCGACTAACAGATGGCACTGTGTGCAATGAGCTGCTATGTGATAATTATGGAGCATGCTGGGGAAAGTGTGGAAAAAAGTGCTGATGAGTTTTGGACTGTGTGTGTGTGTGTGTGTGTGTGTCAGGATGTCTGCTGGGAGGTGAAAGAGGAAATCGACTTTGACACGTTTCCTGCAACATGACACTATAACTGCTACTTGTATTATCATCTTTTTCTACTACTTCTATTTGAATAGTGTGAGAAAATGTTTACGGTGAATATCCCACAACTAGCAAGAAACTATAACTATTCTATCAGGACATTATATCAACATAAATGATAGGTATACACTCTCCGCTTTTAGTCCAGATGTGTCACAGAAACAACTAGAAGTCTGACAGTAAATAGCCTGCGGTCAACAAAACCTCCTAGTCCCTCTGAAAGGACTCGTAAGGTTATGTGTGTTTCCCGTTAAGCCCATTTAAATCCCCACAAAAATAACAAATCTATGAATATAACCTCTGATAATGAACTCCCTGTGTGGAAAGCAAGCTGAGACCTTGCCCTTGTCTAGGTCACAGTGTGCTGAAAAGAGGTTAGGAGACGTATAACTTGTATTAAACAATCTGGCAGCATATTAAATCGTAATCATCTGTGCTTTCTTACCAGAATAGTTGAATATCACACACATTTTGTTTATCTGACAGAATGATTATAGTGTTAGTTAAATGGCAAATAAACACCTTTTAAATATCTTGTATTATCTGACCTCACAGTATAAATGTTTTTTGGTTGAGAAATGGCTAAAACTAATGATTAAAATAGCTGCTGCTGTCAAAAAACTAATCATAACCACTGATTTCAGCTCATTTTATCCATAACAACATTAAAAACACAGGCAGAGACCTTGCTTTCGTATATCCTGAATTCGTCCTTCCTTTTCAGTTTCACCTCCTTTACTCATATTTCTCTTCTCTCCTCCTGAGCCGCAGAATGTTTTCTTAGAGCACGATGTTTTCCACAAACACGAGTGTGTGCGCCGTACGTTGTGTGTGTGTGTGTCAGTGTGTGTGTGTGTGTGTGTGTGTGTGTGTGTGTGTGTGTGTGTGTGTGTGTGTGTGTGTGTGTAGGCGTATACTTCCATTCAGTCAGTACTGCACTCAGACAGAGTGAGCCCTGTGATGTCTACATCCACAGAGATGTGAAGGTAGACGAGTGGCGGAGAGAATAAATGTGAGTCATGACACACACACTCACACTCACACTCACACTCACACACACATACAAACACACACACACATTTTCTGGTGACTAGAGGATGAATTAGTTGCTGGTGTGCTGTGGAGACTCTTCAAAGGTGTCACTCTGTGCATCATGGCATTGATCCTGGTCAAAACTACAATGACATGATGACGTTTGACAGCCATTACTGGTGTGTGTGTGTTTGTGTGTGTGTGTCCATCTAATGACTCACACATTTGTTTAACGGGGCTTCATTATGCTTTTCGGGGTTATCCCTTTCCTGTAGTGTGTTCTATAGGTTTGTGTGCATGTAAATGGTCTACAAAGGCTAAAATTCCAAAGGGAGTTTCTCTCCCACAGACCCAATATGAAATCAACCCTTAGAGAAACTTCACATACCCTTAATGCATAAATGAATTTTGAAAAGACTTTCAACACTGGCCCCAGCATGATGTGCATTCTATTAACAAGCTGCTGCAACAATATGATAATAATGTCCTCAGAACAAAAAGAAACTAATCTAAAAATAATTTGCTTATATGCTTCAAAGACTAATTTAGGGAAATAATTGAAAGTCCTATTTTCAAACGTCCAAAACAGGTAGCAAAGAAAATACCTTATCCGACCTAATTAGACTAGAGCATAATTTGGACCTCTCCATAATTGTAAAATGCTTCATCGTAGTATTGTAAACCCCTGTGTGTTCGGTGCTGACAAGCCTTCAAACTGATAGAGATATAACTCTTAATAAGGACTCTATAAGCGGTCCGACAATAACTCTGGATTTGACTTAAAGTTAATTTCCCAACTTCATACAATGTTTTCAATGAAAGCTATTAAAGTGTTCGTGCTTAGTTGCCTTACATTAGAGAAAGATCCACTTCATGCATTCCTCATATTCCACTGTACATTTATTCTGGGTGTCTTTCGCAGAGCAGATCCCCAAATTGGACACTCACTATCTATCAACTACACACACAATGCATTTTACAACGTAAAAGCTAACTTTTATTTGACCAAATCGCTGGTTCTGGTTCCCTAACCAGTCCTCAAGGTGCGACGAGTTGTTACTCCAGCTCTCAAACACCTGATCCAATTATCAGGTGTTGGGGTCCTGAGTGTCCGAGGCGCTCCTAACACCCCGAGAGCGTCGCTGTGATTGGAGTCAGATGGAAGCTTTGATTCGCTTTGTCTGGGCTGGAGGACATCCTTTCAAGTCTTCACTTTTAGTTTTCATATGCCGACCCTTTTCTTTCCTCTCCTCCCCTTCCTCCTTCTCCGTGGGCTTCCTTTTTCTTTAGAATGATTTGTTTACCCACAAGTCCCCTGGGTAATTAGTGCTGTGATAATAACTGGTGTTGGAAACAAACACACCCACTCGCTGAGCAGGGCGCACACACACACACACACACACACACACACACACACACACACACACACACACACACACACACACACACACACACACACACACACACACACACACACACACACACACACACACACACATGGACGTTGGGGTGCAAAACAACTTCCTTAAGCTTAGTCGCATTAAGCAGTGGTAAAAGTAGCAACTGGACAATGCATATTTATGAAGAATGAATCAGCAGAATCATGATGTGTGTTTGTTTTATCAACTCAGTCCAAGTCAATGATATTTAGTTTTAAAGGAAAATATATGGCATTTCAAAAACAGCTATACGAGAAAAACATGGCACCTACTGTATGGCCAAACTACTCTTTGTAGTGTTGCCAGCGCTTAAGAAAATACTCTTAGGGGCGGTTGGCTTTCAGTCAATTTCTCCGCTTCACAGCCCCTGAAAGAAGTGACAGTGTTTTAGAGGTTTTCAACGAGGGAGTAGACAAGCAAAAAAAGATGGGACATTTGGTTCTGTCCTGACAAAAGCAACAACAGTGTGTTCAGCCGTTTACCTCACACGGCCCTGCAGGCTGACAGGAAAAAGAAAATGATTATGGCTCTACAAAATCCTTTGTGGGCTGGATGATGGGTCAACAAGGTTTTTCAACCAACTGTCAACATTGTTTTACGTTTTAACAATAAAAGCAACTTCTCCTTTAAGTCAAATAAGTTGTTTTTATGCTTAAATTAATCTTAGTGGCATCACAACACAGTGTTGATAAAGGTCGTGTCAAAATCATACTTTTGCATTATAGTGTTCGCTAGTCCTATCATAGGGATTGATCTCTCTTTGATAGCGGAACAACAACACTCTGTAATTACATACTGCTATAAGTAATTGTGTTTACATCCCTTCATTAATTAAGAACAATAAGAGGGATGTTTGGCTTGTCTCCCTTGTGAATAGTAGACTTTAATGGTGTTTACATTTCTGATTCACTTCAATGCAGAAAGTAAATAGCTTTTTTTGTTTGACTTCCACCTGTTGATTTTATTATCTCAGTTTTGTAGGAGCTTGTTGGAGAAAAAACAAACATATCCCTATTGTGATTAAATAAAATGCTCTGATAAATAACAGCATTCAAAAAGAAAAGCAGTTATTCCCAAGAGTGTATTGTTGTATGAATGTGCTTATACTGGGACACTGGGCAGCTGGAGTTGCCAGGTTTTGTCCTTATATGCTGTGCCAAGAGTGGAGATGGCTTTTCTCTCTCTGGCTTCTTATTTTTCGGGGTCTTTATTGGAAACTAGACAAACAATTTGATGTGTTTGTGAGCAGGATGTTTAACATGTTAATTGGCTCTTCTCTATCTGATTATTGCCGTCTGAGAAACAGCTGCTATTCACTTTACAATGCTTGCATGTAATTAGAAAAATAGATAATATGCATGTTTTCAGTGTGTTCACTTCCACTAAATCTCTGCACAGCACAGAGAAGTGACAGAGGCAGAGACAAGAAGAGTGATGAGAGAAATGCTAAGATAAGAGAAGGGAGAGAGAGAATCTCCCGCTGTTTTTCCAATCAGGAGGCGTCGTCCTCCTCACTGGGTGATTTATTCTCTCTTCTCTCCTTCATGTCCCAATTTCCAACCCCACCGCCCCAACCTCCATTTCTTTCGTTCACTCTCCCTCTCCGTCTTCTTTCTGCGGGCAGCCGGTGAACACAGTTATTTAGAATTGACGACAGAAACACATTCAGGCGAGCAGTGTTGTTAAAATGACTCACCTGACCTGTGAGGTTTTTCATCTGCAGTCCTTCTCACTGTTCACTTTTTCTCTCCGGATTGAGCCGGGTATAAATGCTTCTTCAGAATAGAGCCTCGACATCAAACATATTTTATTTTAAAAGCAGCGTTAAATGATGCATGACCTCACCGGCCGGCATTATGAAGCGTCTGGCCTCCTTAACAAATGAATAATGAATGCTGGGTGCAGGTCAAGTCAAAGTATATATTATTAAGCAAATTTTTTCCAGGAGTGAAAAATAAAAAGCCCCTCAGAAACCAATCGCGCTGAAAATACAAATCAAAACCATTTGATTTGTGTGACTGACACTGCCAATACAAGAGAATGTATTCATTATAACCTTCTCTTGTTTTGTTACCAACCAATCATTCATCCTCCCTCCATTCATCCCCCTAGAGCCACAAGTGTGTGTGTGTGTGGGTGTGTGGGGGGCTGGCACACACACTTGTGACACACAGACACACACACGCACACACACACACCTTTATTAGTGTCCTCCTATGTTAGCATGAGTGGTTGTGGCTTAGAGTGAGATTTAGTTATACGTTAAATCACCAAGTGTTTGTGTATTTCTCTCCCCCCACCCTACACATCCCCCCACCGACCCACTGACCCCTCCCTCTCGGCGCTGGTTGGTTGCCACGGCTACAGTGTCGCCTCTCTTCCTCATGTTGCTATGAGACTCGGACCGACAGACCTGAGCTGAATGACAATGCGTCTGTGGCGCTGGCAAGAGGCCCAAAACCAGCCAATAAGAGCCGGTCTAGACAAACACTTCCCAATCTGGGGTCTGGGGACCTCCGGGTGATTGTTTGGGTTGGCAGGAGCGTCCTCAGCCACACCAGGGAAAGTTTATTAACGCTATTTATATCCTCAGTAAATTGTCCTCGATGAGAAAATGTGCCAGTCATTGCGTACTTAATAGTTATGAGAGCTCCTTTATGAAATGCAATAAGAAATCTTTTTAATTAGTAATTGTGATGCAGCAAAAGTAAAAGCTACAATCAATCAGTATCTTTTATAAAAAAATTGATCAATGATGATGTTTCACGTGCAGACAGACAAAGTTTCAAAGACTAATGAAGCAACTAAAGAGGAATTGAGAGAAACCAAACGAGCTGAAAGACAAATATCAGCCCTGAATTTGACCATTTTTCATGGTGACAGAAACGTCCAAATTAATGCTAATTCTGCTCCGATTTGTTGCTTACATGTTTGCCATAATGATTTAACAAGGAAATGATAATTCAGCCATGTTTCGCTCCCCCCAAGTAGCCCAAATGTCAGCTTTAAATGATTGTGAATTGAATGATTGCTGGTGTTGAAAACAAGTGATCAATAACATATTTAAAAACTGTTTTAGTTAGGTATTGCAAAGTGGAAATTCTTGTCAAAATGTTGTCATTAAACTAGGCTTCAACAAATCAATTATCGCTTAAAAATTGCCGTTTTGAAACCTGACAGATTGCCTCACTTCTGACCTCCCGTGTTACATCAGCCTGCCTTTTTCTTCCTTGCTGCGGCTCAGTAGTGCAGAAGGGCGCTGGGGAGCTGCGATTTCTCTCCCAGTAAGAATAACACCTTGATTAAGTGCTGAAATATGTTCCTCTGAAGGCGCCGGTGACCGTGGAAAAGGGTTTTGACATATAACAGCAGAGCCGTGTGGGTGGGAGTGTGCGGTCTTTGGGCTTCTGCAGAATCAATCTGCTTTCCTTTATCCATTTAGTTTGGTATTCACATGCATACAGAGAGAGTCTGTTCGGGGTTAGAGCAACACATCATTCAGCCAGCTGGTCGACATGCATTTTATGTCAGATGTATTGTCTGATATGCAAGTTATTCAGTATTTTATCTTAATACTTGTCTTTCCTCTGTGTCTTATCGCAGGAACTGTTTACAGCGGAGTGTAAGTTTAAGGAGTCGGTGTTTGAGAACTACTACGTGATCTACAGCTCGATGCTCTACAGACAGAAGGAGTCGGGCCGGGCCTGGTTCCTGGGCCTCAATAAAGAGGGGCAGGCCATGAAGGGCAACAGGGTGAAGAAGACCAAACCAGCTGCACACTTTCTGCCTAAACCTATAGAAGGTAACACACACTCTCACACACATGGGGGATCATTCCTTTACATTTTTGTGGTTTTACAATACATGTCTGTTTTCTGAAATGTCTCTTAGTTGTATTGGATTTTAAAGTATAGACACTTCTTCTCCTGATATTCTTGGTTTCTTGTCTTCCGTCATACTTCCCTTATCATACATCCCTTTCTCCTCCACATTCTTTTACCTCTCTTCTTCTCTCCTTCACTCTTTTCTCCCGCGACCCCTCCAGTTGCGATGTATCGAGAGCCTTCGTTGCACGACGTAGGGGAGGCGGTGCCTAAAGTCGCCGGGGGCCCGTCTTCCAAAACTACAACCAGCGCACCTGTGGTCATGAACGGCGGCAAACCAGTCAACAAACCAGACAAGACATAACCCCACCTCCCCCTTTTATCCCCCCCCTGGCCAACCAGAGGCCAGGACAAGCCAGACTCGCCCCACTGCTGCGCTCTCACTAAAAACTGCAACGAAATGTAACCAAACAAACCATCAACTTCTGACTGGTCAGCAGTGGGGCCGCTCGTCGCGTCACGTCTCGATGTAGGACGGATCCGCTACAACTCGCTTCGACTGGTGGTGGGGGAAAAGGGAGGAGGAAGACCATAAAATCTGGCCAATGCCCGCCAGATATTTGGGAACTGGTTCAGTGGCATGCCCTCATACGTGAGACAAAATGACTTCTTAAAGATATAAACAAAAAACGGGAAAAAAATGTCTTCTTCACCGGTATTTTTCTGTGACAATCTGTAAGAATGAGGCCCCTTTCTTTCCTCTCCTGATACTGTTTCTGTTGCCAGGTATGCTTGCTTGCCGGTGGCCACGCACACACACATTTGCACACGACTCCCACCCGAAATCGACCACTTGGATTCGATATTTGCGTGAATAAAAAAACAGATTAAAAAACAAACATCAGGCAAAAAGAACACTTTAAATACCAACCAGTGATGATTCAGAGGATGCTTAGTCATCCATCAATTAAGACAGGACATTCTGTACCGAGCCTATAATGAAATGTTCTTAAAATCGCCCTGTGCGTTAAAAACAAGGCAACACACACTATGACCTGTTTTAATCACATACTATATATCTGTTAAGAAAAGAGAGTTCTTATTTGACACTACATAGCTTAAAGCACGTTTGTCTTCTGTTAGATGGTTCATTATTCTGCACACACAGTGAATATTGAGCTGCGTCGTTGTACGGACACAAAACAGATATTTGGTGTCTACCTCTCCGTCTAACAAGTTGTTTTCTGTCCCTTTTTTACGAATGTTATGATTTCCACATCACTTGGTAGCTCAGGAGAGGAGGAGATCTGCTTGTTAGTGTGTCGCTGAGTGATGAAACCCGAATGATTTCCCTGTTTGTAGCAACACAAAGTACAGGAGGCATGCTGGCGTCCACGCAGCATGGTAGCAGTCACTGTTTACACGGAGTAGCAGAAACTTCGAGAAGTAGTACTTTTTCTTTCTGTTGCCTCCCAAGTACTTGAAGTTATAGGAATGAGGGTTATAATGAACAGGGTAAATTATGTTGAAGCCACTATGTGTGGAATTTATCACCCAGTGGTTTAAAAACAGGCACTGTGGTAATGCAATGCACGCCTTTACCCCTCCCCGTAGCAGAGGATCAGAGGAATTAATAACTATAGCTGTCAAACAAATAAAGAGGAATATTTATTATAAATATCAATATTTTTCTCTGATATATAGTAGAATAGAAGAAAAATGAAAATACTAAAGTAAAGCACCTCAAAATTGTACTTAAGTACAGTGAAAATACAATATGTGGTTATATTCCACTGGTCCTGTGTCAATATGTAAAGTAGCCTATCAATTCAAGTAAAAATAAGTATTAGAAAGTTGGTTTCTGTATAACCACCCGAAAACAATAGCACACTTTGGTCACAGCGATAAAATCAAACCACTGAAACGAGGCTTTGTCTGAAACGTTTAGATATACAGGGCTGGAAATCAAATGCCTTGGAGAGAAATAAAAACCAAATAGCTCCCCATGCTTAGCCCTCTCACTGTGACAGTCAACACGGCACCAATCTGTTCCGGACTGCTCTACAAACTTTCTGTTTACTCGTCAAAGACTAGACGCCAATTAACTACACCGGTAGTCCGTCATATCACTGAGGGGACGTTAATGCTGTGATCCCACACTTCATATTAGTGTCGGAGACAATGAGGCAGCAGCAAAGGAATGTATTCAGTAAGAAACAGAAACCGTGCAATCTCTCTTGCTTTGAATCTGAATTTTAAGGCCAAGTCTCCGCTTTGCATTTCGATCAGATCCTTGAAACACTTGTCGTATTTGCTGGAGATAAATGACCTCCCAAAACTACAAAAAAACAACACAAAGCGTCCCGCCCTAGAAAAAACGACGACTAATCCTCACAGTTGTTCCAACATTAAGCGTCAGGTGTGTAGCAGGTGAAACACGAACCTCTCCAAAGTGTTTAATGTCGTCCCGCTGTGTTTACTGTACGGAGAATGCACTCTTGAAAAATACAAGACATCTCAGTGTCTCTAATTGGCATTTCTCAGAAATGTACCTCACACATTTTTCTCTCCTCTGAGCTCATTAGCTGCCGCTCGCCTTTGTGTTCGAACACGTGTGGCTGACCAATTTACACTCTGTGAACTCTGCTTATTTGTGCCCTTCCGTAACTACTGTTTTGAAAGGAAAATATTTGTGAATAAGGGGAAAATGGAATTGAAATATGTGTGCAAAAAAGAGAGATAAGAATCTTATGTGAATGCACGAAATGTATTGCTGCCGTTGGATCATCTGAAAGTATTATTTTTCGCTGGTCCGTACTGTAGATTCAATGTGAGTGCCTCTCATCCCCAGTTTAGCTCAAGATGTGAGATCTGAATGCTAAATATTTATCCAGCAGGGTTTAGCAAGCATTTCCAAATTCTCAAAGTCGCTCGACTTCGGCTCTGTCCCTGTTAAATGTTACTTAAAGTGCAACGTGGGGCCGTGGTGATGAGTAAGAAGTCCTTTTTGACCGGTGTTGTGCTTGTCTAGCGTCAAAGAAATGTGGATGTAACATAATATTGCTGTGTCACACTTGGGGTTACTAGCAAAACTGTACAAAAAAAAAAGACAAAAACCCTGACAATCAGGTCTGTAAACGTCCTTCTTCTTTTTTTACGTATCCTGTGTTGTCGCAGCTGCCTGTGTCTAAAAAGCCACTTTAATTACAGTCTATAGAGTACAATGTTTTTGCCTGGCCAGACATTTAGGAGATACAATCGAGACTCTGCTATTCATCGAATATTATTAAGCAGCTAATTTGTCCACACTGCTGGCAGGGGGAAAACGGTCCTGCATTCAGAGAGGCCCAGCTTGTTAGGTTAGAAGTGTGGCTCACATCCTGTGAAAGCAGCTATTGAAGATCTGTGGCACATGCTCAAGAATTAATGATGGTTGAGGATGGAGAAAAAGGGACGTGGTTTCCTGGCTACTGACCAAAGACACCGCTTCAATAGTGTTTCCAGGCTGGTAATCACAGTTATTGGTTCAAACAACGAAGGCGCAATTACTGTCAGCGTCTCCTCCGAGATTTCTCTCCACTGGTGGTTAGCCAGGTACCAAGGCTACAATTATGAGATATCTAACGGCGGGCTGTGCACAGGAAGAGGGCTGATTTAATTAGAAGTGAGCAATCACGACAACCCGGGTCACTTTTGATTTCCACATGCAAGTACCACTCATGTTCTCGTGGCAGGTACACATGTAGCCATCTCACTTTGTCCTGTACTGTAGCTCTGAAACCAGAAGGCACAAAATGGACATAATAGGACGGGAAAATGCTTGTGACCTGACCACTGTAGTGCAGGTGCACTTTAGAGACATAGTGATAGGCACTGTACCCAGGATGTAGCTGGCCTCCCTCAGGTTTCCTTTCTTTTTTCCATTCCACTTTATTCCTCTGACAAAAGACTGCCTTATGACATCTGAATCTGAAACGAGACAGTTACCGCGCTCTCCTCCCAGCTGTTTCTTACTCTGAACACACACACACACACACACACACACACACACACACACACACACACACACACACACACACACACACACACACACACACACACACACACACACACACACACACACACACACACACGCACGCACGCACGCACGCACGCACGCACGCACACACACACACACACACACTAGCTATTCATCCTTTTTTTACGTTTCAATTATCCTTTGATCCCCAATCTTCTGTTCACTGTAACTATGCTAGCTTTCACTCTGCTCGTTTTGTCCTCATGCAGCCAGAGAACTTATTCCCACCTCCTCTTTTCTCCTCTCTGTTTGGACTGTTTCCCACTTGTTGCATGGTTTTTAAAAGAGCAAAGATGACTGGGGCTAATGCATGTGGTAATGTAGGAAATGTGTTATCAAAACAAAACAAACATTTACAGCGGAGCACCAGTACAACTTTGCATCTGGCTCATGTCTCACATTGGTTTGCATTGGTAGACATGTGTGGCATCAGAAACAACTAACATTACGCATTATCCATCATTGCAATAATGGAGCAAAGGAAGAATGAACACTACACTACTACAGTTACACTAATGCATGTCTTGCGTGGTAAACTTTTAGCAGAGCATCAATATTTAATTCATCAGGCTGAGAGGAAAATTATATTATAATATATAGATAACAAAAAACCAGAAGAAGTAATTGTTTGATATCCTTTGCTGCTTCTTTTAACAATGATGGATTGAGTTTATGAAGTTATTTGAGATGCTGACACGTGGAGACAGATGGTGGTTCTCTGATTAAGGACCATTATACTATATAAAATCTTAAAACATACCACATGGTACGCCATCTTCTAGTGACATTTAAGGTGGAAAGAAATGGTGTCACACATGTGTAAATCATCCAACAAACGTTTCAATATTAAAGTGAAAAGAAAGTTGGCGGAGGTTTCTTTATTCGTGTTCATGCTGCTGTGGGGTTTGTCCAGGTTTTATCCACAGTATGTGTTCCTGAAACAGGGCTAATGGAAGCTAGTGCACATACAATTGCAGGTTCAGTTTTACAGTGAAGCTGGGATTAATTACAATACGGAGAAAAAATGGACTCAAGGTGGATTTACAACAACCCGCTGTGATGCAAACCATGCTAGCTATGAGCCAAAAGCAAAATGTCACTGGCGCTAACGTAAAAGGAGATTACTCTGTCTGTCGGTAAATGTACAGTTACCTTTACATACATATTATGCAAACAGTTTGTCTGCACTGTACAGTTTGTGTCCAATCCATTGTATACACACAGAAAACAATATTGAATAAAGGATTTATATAAAGGACTGGACTGATTGATGTCAAATAACCATTTTACCATCCCTGTATTTATTCATCCATCATCCAACATTAAAATTCTCGTTTTAGGTTTAAAATTAATTCCATTCATCCTTTTTATTGACCTAAGGGTACGATGTGTTATCAGCCATTTTTAGCTGCAGAAAAAAGGAAGTGACTTCATCTGTAAAGAAATAGCTTTGTGTCTTTTTAGCAGAAGTATTATTATTTGTTGAGCTCTCTACAAGTATTTCATCCCTGATTGACAACAAAGTTTTACAAAATAATTTCATAATTTATCTTTTGAGAGAAAGACACTCAGAGAAATAGATTTAGTTGGAAGCACCATTAAACATATTATTATTATTATACAGGTATGGCAGCAGGTTGACAGGCAGAAAACACACACACACACACACACACACACACACACACACACACACACACACACACACACACACACACCGCCTGGCCTCCTTTAAATGACAGATGAACCAGCAAATACTTTAATTAGGTGGATGTCATTAGAATTTGCATATGTAAATGATATGTAAATGAGGTGTACTTTGAAGGGCAA